AAACTCTGAAAAAAAACTCAATGGATATCCTGAACTGGGGGAGGGGGGACAAATAAGATTTTGAGAATCAAGCAAAAGTCACCTCGCTATCGTTCTCAACAAGTGTAGTATGGTAACCAGCTTGAGCGAGGGATATGGCAATTCCTCTTCCCATGGTGCCTGAATAGAGACTCTCTCAAGGGTATCTGCGCATATTCTAGAACTGACTGTTACTTCAAAACTACAGTCCACGTCGATCGTACAAGCGAGAAAAAGGGTGGGGCCAGGCCTACCAGTGTGCATTCCTTGAGTGTTGTGCCCTCCCCCCCCCCTTTGCAGAGAAAAGCGAGTTGCCACTCAAAAAATCATTCAAGCGGCACGAAAACAGCTGAACAATCTTCACCGGCACGATGAGCGTAGTACGTACTTTTGAGAAAAACCTCTCAGGGGACACTGACCACCACCAATGACGGCAACATTCTTTATTGTGGCCGCTTTCGAATTCTGCCAGTTGCCTCCATTAGGGAGCCGCCACTGAAACGGAAATAATAAAGCATCAAAAAAATTGCGGTTGTGAAAACAGATAGTCACTAGACAGACGAATGAACTCTCCACCGGGGGGCTGGGGGTGTAATGGGGCTAACACTGAGCGCGTGAACCGAAAAATTAAAGAATCAGAAAAAGATTTTCTGGGTCAAAAAACCACCCCACCCTTCGCTCCGATGATCTAGCACGACCCTTCCATTGAGAATCCCGGCGTAGAACGTGGCCTGCACCAGACACCGTTTTCATAGCGAGCTTTCAATATTGAAGGCAGAGCCCGGGATTGCAATTCGAGGGCATTCACATTCAAGTACGATTCTGAAAGTGCCAGGTAACACAGTAGCGGAGGAAGAAGTACTGAAACCGCTGAAACGCCCTAAATAGTATCCCTTTTGGTTCTACTGCGTATATGGTGAGGAAACACAGTGCGTAAAGAAGAGAAGTAATCGACGATATTGTGAGAGAGTAAACGAATCATCGAGAGTGCAGGTGGAGGGTGGAGAGCACGCATCGCAGTGGGCTCCCGGGCTCAGGCACTTTTGAGCCGAAAAGGTAGAATTTCCTCATTGACAGCGAGTGAAGAACGCGCTGTGGCCCTACTAAGTGGCATTTCTGACGTCTCCATAGTTGTCCCGCTCACTGGACCTCAGAGGCTATTCTGTACTAGTTGGTTTTGCACCACGTTTTCCTTTTCTCCCGTCGGTAGATGGTATTGGATGACTAGAAGAAAGATTAGCGAGCCGGAGGAGGCAGTATGTCGCTTTCTTGGTATAAAGCGAGCATATCTGCAAAAATCATCTACAGAGGCTGCTAAGTATCTACTTATGGTATTCTCCATTTTTTTTCGCTTTTTTCTGTCCTGGAGAGTTATTAAGTGACTGCAGGCCTGTATTTGAAGGTTACTATTCACATACAATCCCGGGATTACCTATAAGTAATCATGGATTGGAGTGTTTTCCTTCAATATTTTTCTTTTTTTGTAATATTCTTCAAGGCAGGATAGACGACAGTCGATTATTGGCAACTCAACATACCTGCACGCTTTCTGCCGTGCATTCCTTATGTATGTCTTCACGTCGTCCGAGGCATTTTTCATATTCATTCACTATCTGAAATAATATTTTTACCTGCCTAGCATAGAGAATTGATTGGCTTAATCGGAAAAGACAGGTTTGTGATAGTGTCTTTGT